TTGAAAAATTGTATTTATTTGATTTAGTACTATTTCAGTTAAGTATATGCCTTTTTATTATTTATTTTTGTAATTTTCTGATTTGTTTTTGGGATGGGAATGAAAATGGGAGGCATAGAAGATTTTTTTTTTTGAAGGGATTGGTAGTTAAAGTGTTTGTTGTCAAGTGTGAAAATCTACATTTTTGTTAATGTAGTTTTCTAGTATTACATTGGAGTGTTACATTAGAGAGTTACGTTTAGAAAAAATACATTAAGGAATTTTTGTGTGTTACATTAATTGGAGTGTTGTGTTTGAAAAAGATACACTAAGGAATTTTTTTGAAATGCTACGTTGTTACGTTTGAGAAAAGTACACTAAAAAGTGTTTTTAATATGTTACATTGGAGTGTTATATTTGGAAAAAACTATACTAAGGAGTGTTTTTGGAATGTTACGTTATTATGTTTGAGAAAAGTATACTAAGGATTTTTTAATGTATTATATTGGAGTGTTACGTTTAGAAAAAATACACTAAAAAGCTTTTTAGTGTGTTACATTGGTTAGAGTATTAAATTTGTGAAAAATATACAAAGGAATTTTTTAATATTACATTGAGTGTTACGATTTCGGAGTGTTACGTTTGAAAAAAGTACACTAATGAGTTTTTTTTTTGAAGAAATTTAATGTATAAAGAGAAAAAGAGAATTGTATTATTGATTGATGTTTGTAATTGTTAGATTACAAGATACATTAATTACAATTCCTATACAATCTATATATAGAAGAAAATGTGGTAGTAGGTGTAGTGGAGGTGATAGTGGGTTAGGTGAAGTGGAGTGTGTAGTGGAGTAGGTGAAGGTAAAGATGGGAAATTCTAACAGCCCCCCGCAAACTCAAGGAGGAGAGAAACTAACCAACTTGAGTTTGGAGAGAGTAACAAAACAAGAAAATACATAAAAATAAAAAAGGATAGGAGACACTGTATGGTCGTGTCAGACCGTTGGTGAAGACACTGTATGGGGTGTCATAACGTTGTAGAAGACACTGTATGAGTGTGTATATAAACTGCCCAAAAGATATACATGGATATAGATATCGAGCCCTCAAAAGTCGTGCCCTATTTTGTGGCTTGGAATAGCAGGGGATTGAAACCAGACGCAAGGAAGGCCGGTGTCGCAACGGAGCTTTGGCAAAGGGACATCGACGTGCAAGCGGTGGTGGTCTCCGGCGACTGAACAGTAGTGCACTCAGAAAGGAAATTTCAAGGTATGTGTAGAAAAATTTTAGCAGATTAGGTTGAGGTCCGGCGGACGGCCAAGGCGAGGTTGCCGCCCGCCGGTGAAGCGAAAAATACTAAGTGCTTAACCTTGCTCTGATACCATGAAGAAATTTAATGTATAAAGAGAAAAAGAGAATTGTATTATTGATTGATGTCTTGAATTGTTAGATTACAAGATACATTAATTACAATTCCTATACAATCTATATATAGAAGAAAATGTGGTAGTAGGTGTAGTGGAGGTGATAGTGGGTTAGGTGAAGTGGAGTGTGTAGTGGAGTAGAGGTAGGTGAAGTGGAGTGTGTAGTGGAGTAGGTGAAGGTAATATGGTAGTAGGTGTAGTGGAGGTGATAGTGGGTTAGGTGAAGTGGAGTGTGTAGTGGAGTAGAGGTAGGTGAAGTGGAGTGTGTAGTGGAGTAGAGGTAGGTGAAGTGGAGTGTGTAGTGGAGTAGAGGTAGGTGAAGTGGAGTGTGTAGTGGAGTAGAGGTAGGTGAAGTGGAGTGTGTAGTGGAGTAGAGGTAGGTGAAGTGGAGTGTGTAGTGGAGTAGAGGTAGGTGAAGTGGAGTGTGTAGTGGAGTAGAGGTAGGTGAAGTGGAGTGTGTAGTGGAGTAGAGGTAGGTGAAGTGGAGTGTGTAGTGGAGTAGAGGTAGGTGAAGTGGAGTGTGTAGTGGAGTAGAGGTAGGTGAAGTGGAGTGTGTAGTGGAGTAGAGGTAGGTGAAGTGGAGTGTGTAGTGGAGATTACCCAAAAAGTTAAAAATTTAACACTATTCACCAAAATACAACAATTACGGCTGCACAACTCCCAATTCAAAATTTTCCTTACAAATCAATTTTTACAATTTTTTATTACACATTTTTCAATAAAAAATCAAAAAGTTAACCCAAACATCCATATTTTCAACCTCAATTTTTTAGTCCAAAAAAACAAAAAGTGCAGTTTTTTAGTCTTCCCAAACTTGGCCTTAGTAATTTTAACATTATTAGAAAGCTCACATTTATCTCTTAATACATAATACATGCGTTTATACTTCGTATTTTATCTAATTCGCACTATAATAGAACCTTTGGGTTCATAAAAAAATAAAATAAAATGGAGGTATTTGAGATTTATTCAGTGTGCTTGGTTTCAATTTTTTGGAAATTGAGTTTTTTGTTTTTCGTGTTTTATTTTTATTTTTAATGAATATTTTTTAAATTTTAAACATTTTTTTTAAACTTTTTAAAATGCATCTTACTTAGATATATCTAAATAGTAAAATATTTACAAAAAAAATATTTTAAAAAATTAATAAATACATAAAAATATAAAAAAATATCCTAAGTTTTCGTATTTTTTTAAATATATTTGTGACATTTAATGAATTTTTTAAGGTTTTTTTCATAAATATTATATTTTTAAGTGTATTTATATTAGGTGTGTCTAAAAATTAAAAAAAATACTTAAAATATTTTAAAAAATTAGTGAAAACAAAAAATACGAAAAATAAAAAAATAGAATTTTCTAAAAAGTAAATTATGAAAGAGAAAATTAGTCTGAGGTCCCTTTATCATTTTTAGTAATGGAAGAGATTCACTATATTATTTTGTGATGTCTAAGGTCCCTCAACCCCACACCTATATATCACAGAGAAATTTGACTCTCCTAAATCAAACCTCATCTCTCTCTCTCTACCAACTTCTCCATTCTCAAACCTCTCCGATTTTGCCAAGAAATCCAACCAAAAATCGAATCAAAGTCCTCCACATCAATGGCTCGTCGATTCATACCCATCCTCAAACAACTCCGTACTCGATCACTATCACGATCTGTAAAGTACATGCCCCGATCCAGAGATGGCGCTCTAAGAACCACCACTCTGATTTTCGGCAACGGAATCGGACCTTTGGTCACCAGTGCTGTTGAGCAGGTCATGGAGGCAATGCATGCGCTGGTGTACTTCGATTGCTACCAAGTCTGAGGCGACATGAAGAGCGCGCCTCCGAAGGTGATCGAATCGATCGGCAAGAACAAGGTGTGCTTCAAGGGAGGTTGCCTCATATATGTCCTTGGTAAGATCTCTTTTCCTCAAAATCCTTATTGATACATATTGTATAGACCTTTAATGGTTTCAATTTTATCTGGATTTCTCTAGTTTGAACTCAGAGAAATTTCAAAATTTTCTGGTTTGAATCTTGAGAAAGATAGAGAAATTTTCTATGAATTAAGCTAGAAAGATTTCAATTCTTATGAGTTGGGTCTACTATTATCCAATCGGGATATGCAAGCAGGTGGATCAGATGATGAAGGTGGTACGTGTGAACTTTGAAAAGCATTATGGCGGTTGAAAATTCGTAAGAAAGTTATGGTGTTTGCATAGAAGGTGTGTTCTATTTACAGGAGGAATTTGTGACCTATGTGATAATAGCGTGGAGACGGTAAGACACAGTTTGTTTGAATGTGATTTTGTTGAGGAGGTTTGGACGGAAGTTGGGTTGTGTAATTTGTGGGAAGCTATGATGAGTCACTAATTGTTTGAATGTGATTTTGCCGAGGAGATTTTGACAGATGCTAGGTTGTGTAAATTTCTCTGATTTGGAGAGAATTTTTCTGGGAAGTCTAGAATTTCTCTAGAGAGAATTTATCTGGCTCTGGATTGAATTTTCTCTGAGTTAATTTGAAAAATTTTAGACATTATAAAAATATTAAATGTCCTTTATATTATAAAATCTTAATATGAAAGACCCTAAAAAAAATTCCTATTCTGAAAACTAAAATCAAATATCATATTTTTTCTATTATAATTATTCATTGATTTTTTAATTATTTAAATCAATGTCAAACATGCCCTAATTATATATTCGGAATCTAACTTAATTAAATGCAAACATGGGCTAAGCACAACAACTACTATTGAAAACCACGCAGTGAGACTCTAGAGTCAAATATATGGTTGGTTACTCCGGGCGGCGGACAGGATTAAAATTTTATTATCGGAGGAATTGAAAAAAATAAATTTTTTTAATCATATATATAAAATGCTTATATATATTAAAAAAAAAATTATTATAGAAGTAATTTTAAATAGGATAAATAAATTTTTTTAATGTAAAATAGAAAGAAAACTACATATGAAAGGTGAATGATATATATATTTTTTATATTGATAGACATTTTATATATAAAACGATATATATATATATATATATACTTAAAGTTTTATAGCAAATAATAATATTTACAAAAATAGAAAGTCATGGTCTCTTATAGTCTTTTCCTAATTTCTTTCATAAATTTGAAAATATTTTTTGATAACATAATTTTATGAGAAAGTAAAATATTAATTATTTGTATTATGTGATTAAAGAAAGTATAAAAAAAATGTTAGAGGCTTCAAAAATTTTACTAAAAGTTTTGCCAAATGTCTTACATGGTTGTGGGACTCATATGGGACCCATATTGTGTGGGTCTCACACTCATGTGAGACATTTGGTAAAACTTTGATAGCATATTTGGAATCTCTAACATTATTCGAAAGTATAATGAATAGTGATTGGTGAGAGAATATAATTGTATTGTATTCGGAAATTATTGTATAATTTTCCCAAATATAAACATGCTTACGTGTTCAACCATGGTTCATTTTTGGAGTCCGTACACTTTAGCTGACGCGTGTCCCCCCTATCTACGCGGTTCCTTCTTCCCCACTGCCCCCCTACCCACCGCCCTATTTATTTTCCCCCTCCTTCATCCTCTTTTCTCTCCATTTCTTCCCCCTTTCTTCCTCTTCTTCTTCTTCTTCATCTCTCTCTCTCTCTCTCTCTGCTCAAGTCAAGCATTTGTCTAAGCCAACCCAACCATACTCACTCATACCCACTTGCTTCCATAGTTTGGGATCCTAAAATGCTCTAAAAACAAAAAACAAGAAAAAAAAAAACCAATTTAGTCTTTGATTTCGTGTTTTACCAGTTTTTCCAAGAAAAGCCAGCAAAAAAGTCTTCAGAAATGGCGTCTTCTGACAATTTGGCGAGCATCGAGCCATGGACGTTTCGTCCTTCCTTTGCCGACTCATGGATTTCAGAAGCCTTCGCTCGAGACACTGAAACCCTAACCAAAGCCCTCCAGCAATCTCTCTCCAACTACTCTTCCCCCGACCCCGTAATCTCTCCCTTCTTCAATCTCGTCAAGCCTGAGACCACTCCTCCGCCGCCGCAAAGCGCTGGTTCTGGATCGGATCTGGAGACGTCCAAGCGGCGGAACTCGATTCCGGCCACCGGAAAGCCGACCAAGAGGAAGTCGCGTGCGTCGAAGAGGAATACGACGACGTTTATCACCGCCGATCCGGCGAATTTCAGGCAGATGGTGCAGCAGGTGACCGGCGTCAGGTTCGGGGGAAACGGACACTTGCCGGTGGCTCCGGTGCTGAAGCCGGCGCCGCAGAGGCCGGTTAACCGGATGCAGGGGTGCTTGCCTACGCTTGACACGTCAGCGTTTCTGCTGGACCACCAACACCAGCAGCAGCAGGTGGTGGGATCTACTACGGCGGCGGAGATGGTGGCGGCTCAGTCGTCGTCTCCGGGCATGAATACGGCGGCGGCTTTGGTGGCTGAGTGTGGCGCGGGGGTAGACTTTGACTCTTTTTCGAGCTTTCCCACTCTGGAGTCGTGGAAAGTAATGTAATTTGAATTGTTTTTTTCAAATTATGTGTAATTTAGTTTTGTTTATTTGGTTGTTTTTTTTATTAGTATGTTTTTTCTCTTTGAATTTTGTAGTGATATTTGGGTGGGGGTATATTAATGTTAATGTTGATATTAATATTTATGAAGGCTATTTCTGTCTTTTAGTGGTTACATTTTATGTTTTTTTTGAGATCAAGTGGTTACATTTGTGTGTGTGTGTTGTTAGGCAGGTGTTATTGTAGCATAGAATAATACCATATTTTTATTATTATTATAAACAACTATATGATATCACCATGTTAAATAAAATAAATTGACTATTATACTCATAAATTTCCATCATCATTATTAGTATTATTATAATTATTTTATAATGTAGTTGTACTGGGCAGTAAATATATTTTTTTAAGATTTATTTAAAATATAAATTATTATTGTGGTTTAAAAAATTATAGATATTTTTTTTTGTTAGAATGTTTTATTTAACAAAATTAATTGAAAAAATAAAATTATTTATTTAATTTTATATAATAATAAATTTATTTGAATTATTAAGTAAAATATATTTATGAGATTATTTTAAAATTTTAATTGATTTAATAATTTATTAATAAAAATATTAGCTATTATGAAATCAAAAATTTTAATGTGTAAAATATAATTTTTAAAATTATAATGAATAATTTGTAATTTAACTTAAACTGTTGCATTATTTAATCACGTTTTAAATTTTGTCAAAGTGTGATCATTGAGAGAGAGATTAAAAATTAATTTTTTAATATTTTTTTAAAAAATATATAAAAAATAAAAAGATAATATGATCTAAAAGAATAAAAAGTTAATAAGTCATCTTTTGGGATGCGGGTTGATTTTTTGATTTTTTTAATTTTTAAGTCTCGTTTGTGATGAGTTTTTTTAATTTTTTTGACTTTTATGAGAGAAAAAATAAAATAATTATGATTTGGACCTGATATTTTTTACTTTTTAGTCTATTTTATTTTTTTAAGATTAAAATTGTTAAAAAACCCATACTAAACATAGTTTAAATTAACTTTTAATTTAATTGCCAAAAAAGACCTTTGTCTGAAAATTAAATCAGTAAATTTAATAGTTTTAGATTATTTAAACAAAATTTGGCAGAGTTTTTTTTAGTAGTAGTAACTTCTAAAATATTGTCCGGAATGAGACCAGTGTCTAGAAAAAGAAGGGCCGTCCAAACTATTGGGTTAGGATTTGTCATCTATAACACTTTTAAAAAAGTAAGAAGTATATTTGGTTGAGGAAAGTGATTTGTAAATAATATTTTTTTTTTTTTTTACTTTTAAATATATTTACAATGATACATGAATGTTAGGTGTAAAATTAAGAGCATAATAGTGAGTGTTTTTTACTGCATCCCTTTTATTATTATTTTTTCATTTAATTTGATTCTAAATTTGAATAAAAAAATTAATTTGATATAAATTACTACAATCTTTTGGTCAAATTTTTATCTATTTTTTTTTTTAAAATTTGATGAATTTTGATAAGTTTTTAGTTTGATGAAAACAAATATTTCTCTTTTGATTTGATAAAATGATTAAAAATGATTTTTAAGAACAATTTTTCTATTAAATTTAAATTTAATAAAAAAAATAATAATTAAGGATTGGATATGCTTTAACGTTTTCCAGAAGCATTATATCCTAGTTTTGCTTGAGTTTTTTCTTTTGGGGTTTTTTTTTTTAAGGTCCTTGATATTATGATTTTATAGCATAAAGGACATCAAATATTTTTATGATGTCTAAGGTCCATCAACAATATTTTCATAATGTCTAAGGTCCCTCAACCTTGATCCAGAGAAATTTCAGTCCAGAGAAAATTGGTCCAGAGAAATTTCAGTCCAAATTTCTCTGGAAAATCTAATTATTCTCAGAAAATTTTCAGATCTGCTGCTACTTTTAGCATGCAAAATGCCCATGATTTTGTTTGGTATTGATTAGTACTCTTTCTCTCTTGCAGTTTTTCCCCATTGTCTTAAGTTTATGTCCAGAGAAAATCTGTTGGTTTTATAGGAAATAAAAAAACTAAGGATAATGAAAGAAGCTAATTTTTGAGACTGCCGAATGTTACTGAGAACAAGATCATCTTGTTCAAATGGTAAGCTAATTTCATCATGTTTAAGGTCCCTCAAGTTGTTCCAGAGAAAATTGGTCCAGAGAAAATTAGTCCAGAGAAAATTGGTCCAGAGAAAATTAATCTAGAGAAAATTCACATCACAGAGAAATTTGGTTCAGAGAAATTCTGACTTTCCAGAGAAATTTTACAAATTTCTCTGATTTGAGAAAGGAAGGGAACATTAGAAAATTGATCTAGATAAAATTTCAAATACATGCACTTACATCCGTTGTGGTTCAAGGTAAAGCACAGAGATCAGCAACAACCCACCTTCTCTCTCTCTCAAGTCTCGGAATGTGTTTTAAACAAATTTTTCTGACTTATGAATTTATCTCCAGAGAAATTCTGAATTTCTCTGGAACTGATATTGATGTTTACAGATTCATCCACCAAATTTCTCTGGACATAAATTGATGACCAACCTCGTGGAAGCAGGTGTAGGTTGCAGAAAATGCAATCTAAAATGCAGATTGGCATCTTAACCGAACCTAAACAAAAACCATGATCCCCAAATGCATTGTTTGCTTACCAAGAAAATGCATCAACAAAACAGAAGAAAATAATAGGCATGATGAATCTCTAATTTCGAGTTAAACCCAGAAACAATTGAGTGATAATGACAGTAACAGAAAAGAAAAAATCCCCCAAATTGAGGTGTGAAATCAAGAATTCAATCAAGATTCGATGTGAAATGGGATAAAGTAAAAAGAAACCCAGAAAAGTAAGAGCTAAAAAGCTTATGAATTTCAACTCCAAACAACTACAATATCAAGAAAGAAGAAAAGATTGGATCAAAGAGTCAAAGGGGTAAAATCTCAAGAGAAATTTTGTACTTGAGAGACCGAACTAGGGTTTCAGTTGCTGAAGCATCTCTCAGTGCTTGAAGGGCAATCTTTTGTGCTGTTTCCCTTCAACACAGCTGAGAAGAAAAGCTCGACTCCACCACCGAGTTTGCGGAATGCAAGAGTGGCAATTTCTCTCAACATGGGTGGAGATGCACAGAATTCATCAAACTCAAGGGTGACTTCACAATCAGAGTCGTCCCAATCTGCTAGTTTGCCCTCCAATGGCAACAACACTAGTCTGGCCCTGAATTTATCCAGAAAACTAAGCATTCTGGGCAATGGCTGGAGGAAGTTGAGGAAGCAGCTTATGATGCGGCTGATCTATTGGATTTGATGATAGCAAACAATAATTTTTGCAAAACCTTGTTATCCGGAAGCTTAATTCTATCACCTGTGTCTAATTTGTTGGGTATGGGGGGTGAGGGACCTTAGACTACAAAAGAATATATTGTGGACCTAATTCATTACTAAAAGGTGAATAGGGACCTTAGACCGATTTTCCCTTTTCTTTTCTATCCATTTTTTTTATTTATTGTTATGTATGAATTATGAATTTGTTAAGGAAAAAGGAAATGAAAAAGGCACATTATATATCTTGTATATATATTCGTTTTGTACCAATTTAAAAATATTTATTTTTAAACAATTTAAAATTTTGAAACGTAATACTGCATTTGGTTGGAGGATTTGGAAAAAAAAAGAGAAAATATATGTGAAATGTGAATAAAATATATTTATATTTCACCTAATTTTACACACTTTTTCTCTTTTTATTTCTAAATCCCTTTTCAAATCGCTCAATCAAGCACAATATAAATGAAATTAAAATCTCTTAATTTGATACGTTATGAAGGTTAAAAATATCAGTGTGGTTAGGCCTATAATAGGCTTGAAAATGGAAGGTTGATTTGGAATTACTGTGATCACTCTTAAAATTAAGATTAACATTAATTTGAATAAAGTGCGAGAGTGTCACGTGTATGGTAAAAAATAAAAAATAAACTAGAATATATGTAGTTTCCAAATAAATGAAATCCCCCCAAAACAAGGAACAATACCATGGGGTAGACACTGGAATTTATCATAAAACTTTGCACAAAGAAGACCTTAAAAAAAACGTACTCAGCCTCCGTTTGGGTAGTGGATTGGTTTTTTGACTTTTTAATTTTTTTGACTATATGAGCCTGGGCTCAAAAGCTTGGTTTGGGAAGGGCTTTTGATTTTTTGACTTTTTTGATTTTTTTGTGAGAGAAGAGTGCAATGATTATGAGATTGGATGAGATGTTTTGTCTGTTGTGACTCATGAGCCTATTCTGTCTTTTATGGCTCATTGAGCCAAAAAAGCCCAATGAGCCCTTGCCAAACCAACCCTCAACCAACTTGGCCTATTTTAAGAAATAGGTTAAAAGTTATTGTTTTGATTTTTTTTTTAAAAAAAATATAAAAAAATAAATAAAGATATGATGTGATTTAAAAAATTAAAAAATAATAATCTTGCTTTTAATCTAATTGTCAAAAGCGGCCTAGTAAGGGGTTGTTTGGGATGACCTAAATAAGTGCACTTTTTATCTTTTTACAAAAAGATGTGCAGAAAAGTAGAGAGGTGATATGATAAAAAAAAGATAAAAAGATAAACAGATGGATTATTCTTGGGTTGCCAAACTTGGCCTAAATTAAAATAGAAGCGGTATAAAAGTTATGCTTGTTTATACAAGGTAACTGTAGAAAATGACAACAGTATGTGAGTTCTACTAATTAAAACAAAGTAAATCCTTAGGGTTGGTTTGAGATGTGTGTTAATTTTTTGATTTTTTAGTTATTTTAGCCTTTGGTTGGTTTTGTTTAGAATAGATTTTTTGGATTTTTTAACTTTTGTAAGAGAAAAAATAAAATGATTATGAGTTGAAAGTGACATTTTATCTTATTTAACTAAAATAGCCTATTTTGTTCTATATAACTATTTTATCTCCCTCCTCTAACCCAAAGCGGGCTTAAAATCAATCAAACGTCATATTCTTTGTGACAATATGGTAGCGATTTTTCAACCAATTTTAGGCTGTGTTTGGTTGTATTCTCCAAACATATTTTTATCCTATGTTTTGAGTGTGTTGTTTGTTTAGAATTTTTAAAAATTAATTCCATACTTACTTTTGAAAACTATGTTTAAGG